TGCAACCGACCACCCACAAGCTCTCGCTCCCTCTCTCACTCACTTACAGTATACTTTTACAATTTTAACTTCAATCTGTTTTATTGGTATTGCAAGTCCATTCATAGATGATATCATAGAAAAATGATGATATAATTGAAGGTAATAAAAATAAACTCTACAAGTAACATTTTTAATTAGTACGTGTTGAGCATATTATGCTTGTATAAATAATATATATTCATGAGCTACATTTTACATATACAGTATACCATACTTGACATGTGGTTTTTTTCTACTTATGTTTCCTGATATTATGGCAGGAGAAGACATGTTTAGCCGCCAGTGATTTCATATTTCCGTCTACTACGACAAAACAGTAAAAATAAATAGTGTTGTTTTTACATTTTTAAATTTCTGGGAAAGTCTTACGTCATTATTTGACAGTCATGTACATAAAAAATGTGTTCCGGTGGCACTATGTCCTCCCTTGGTCTTTAAAACGTCGACCATTTTCCTATATGAAGTTTGTAGTCACTACCTGACTTTTTTCTTCTGAAATATTCCGTTTTAAAAGCCCTGAGCAGAGATATCAACATTTCCAAGCTGTGTTGTGTTTGCCTTTTTAATTTTAATTACATTTTATTCATGATAGTGGATGGTGTCGGTGGCTACACACACACACACACACACACACACACACACACACACACACACACACACACACACACACACACACACACACACACACACACACTCCTGTCACTGCTCTGTTGGATATCTTACATTTCACCTCAGACCCAGTGTTCTCTCCACCTCCTGATCAAACTCGGCTCTAACGCAGAATGAAATGTTTTACGTTAAATTACCATGGCACATTCAATACAAACGGAATTTACTGTTGGGTCCCATCCAAGCCAACATATGTTGAGGAGCCTGTTTCTCCAACCAGAGCATGACTGATACTGTTATGTAGCAAAGCTCTAAATCACCGGAGCTCTAACTTTGTGCAGTAAGACTTTAACACGCATTTTACATACTGACTTTAATGTCCTGGAGACACATTTAGAAAGTGTCTTTAGGATGGAGATACTTAAGTCTAGTGTAGCTTTCACAACAAGATGTAACACTTCACATGAATGTTGGACACGGTAGAACAGGCCTTTTTTAAAAAAAAAAAAAAGTACTACTTGTTTCAATTGAAAGAGTACGTGAAGGCCTGTTATGCCTTTTTATTGCACCTCTCCAAGGCAGTGGAAGATTTCCACAAAAAATGTCACACCAACTTCTAGATGTAATTAAAACGTGTGAAAGTCAGATGCTTGTAGGAAATGCTACATAGACGTTTTAATAGGCAAGAATTTGGGCAACGACTTCAAAGCGATAATGTGTCAGTGTTGTTAACAGCTTATTTCTGAAATGTCCAAGTGGCCAAGAAACAAGTTATTGATTAATATCTTACCTGATATAAATGCAGTTTAACTACCACTAGCTAACTATCAACGATTTTCAAACGTACCTGTGTTCTCTAAACGCATGTGCACCATAGTATTAGTGATGATGATACATATCATTTTTGAAAAGATCATTTTTTTTTTTTTTAGGTTCTCAGATTAAAGTCAGAATCCTGAGAAAAAAGCTGGAATTCTAAGTAAAAGTCAGATTTCGGAGAAAAAGTCAGAATTATTAGTTTATTTATAAGTTTAAAATCAGAATTCTGATAAAAGATTCTGCCTTTTATCTCAGATTTCCAACTTTTTTCATCAGAATTCAGAATGCAATCATCTGGATTTTATACATATACAAATATTTTTCCTACAAAACCTGTTATAAAATTGAATTAAATACCTTTTATACAAGATGTAAAAGGTTTATGTTCATGTTCAAGCAGCAACATCTTTGTTAAAAAGCCAACTATTTGATAGCTTCAACCAAATTTCTGATGTTGGTACCAAAAGAATTGCGGTTCAATAGCCAGCCTGAATACCAAGTGTAGCATTTACTACAGAGCTCAGTGAAACCTCTGCTTATGATTTCTAGCCGTAAAGACTCAAGTGATATTTCCGAAACAATCGTGCTGGAAAACAATGGATGTATTATTCTGTCTTTAGTCAAATAATCCCTTGCCAGGTAATTGATGTTCTGGGATCATCCCTGTCTTCTCTCTATGTCTAACACATTTACATGGTGTTGACTTTTCCTGGCTTCCATCTCTTCTATTGTGAAACTTTGAGAGAGCATTGTCTCATAATTCCTGTTATATTTACCGGGTTGCCTGGTGTGGGTCTGTGTTTTATATGGTGGTGACTGTGTGTGTGAGAGAGCATGTGCATTCAGTCAAAGCTTAATTGAATGACTGCCAGGCTGTTCATGGCTTTATGATGATTATGTTTTTATTTAGTTGTTTGTGTTTTTGTTTGCATGCATGTCGACTGTCACGACCAAATTAAGAGATCTCTGTGATGATGTTAGTCATCACCATCCTGACTCATGTCACTTCTGGTATTCCCGATTAAATTACTCCTGGCTTGAGGCAGGGAAACACTTGGCTTCACATCGGCAGGCCTTGAAACTCTCATACAGAAACAGTTATATACTCGCAGCCAAAAAAGCAGATAAAAAAACAAAACAAAAAAGACAGAACAATCCAGAATTTGATCAATAAAACGGTTTGGATTGCTTGGAAACAGACCCCATCTTGCCTTCTGTTAACGGCTTTGAGTGAAGCCAGCGTTGTTTCTACGGTCCCCCGGCGATACTCCAATGTTTGCGTAGCTCGCCTTGCCTTTTCTCTACTTCATTGTGTTTCAGCGGTGACCCGTGACAACATAAATGCAGTGGAGACTAAGGATACATCCACTGTAGGAGGGATATGTCAAAAGATGTTCCCTAAACTGTGGATAACATGGCTCACAAAGTTCTCTTGTTTTCTCTTTTCTTTTGATCGTCATTGTAACCTTTTTCCCATATTCCACAACACTTCACCCCCCCCACCCCCACCCCCCTTCTACTGTTTATTCGCCTTCTCCATCTCCTACTCATGTTGTAATATCTTTCCCTTTGTTATGTTGTTGCATGTTTTCCCTACTTGTATCTGTAGCCCAAACACTTCTTTTATCTGACTTAAATTCATTTTTAGTTCAAGTTTACCCCTATATCCTTCTCATTCCCTTATAGTACCTTTTTTTTTATGTTATCTCTCACATACTGGGCACTTAGGTGACTATTATTATTATTATTATTATTATTCATAGTGTGTGATAACGTTCCCAATAACATCATTAGGGGGAAATTGAATTTGAGAAATTGAGTTAGAGAGGTTGGAGCAGGGGACGTGTGGCCGCCTACACAAGAGTGTGCGGGGATATCGCCTTACCTTTCACAAATATTTCCTCATACATCCAGGCCCTCCTATCGCTCACTTTCATCTCTCTCTTTTCCTACGTTTTTGGTCCCGTTCAAGAAGCCTTCATTTCTTCTAAAACAGTCAGGTTGAATGAAGTAAAGAGAAATCCTAAGAATGCAGTTACTTATATGGGGCTTGAGAATGAGGAGTAACACATTAAATACACAATATACTTTACAAAATGCTTATATTTGAAAAAGTAAATACAGATGAAAAAAGCTATAATAAAATTATATATTTTTAAAAGTAAATGCAGCGGTTTTAAATGTAATAACTCATTTGTTCACCCATGCATTTCTCCATCAAACAATTTAATTATATTTCAAAGATTCCTCCTTTTTTTTTAAACTTATGAATTACTCAAGAAGCCTTTTGAATTAAAAGTTGAAACATCTTCAAACATCTGTTCATTTACCCTTGACTTAGCACTTCTAGATTATTTTTTTACTAAATGAATCATTGACCAATTAAATAAATATAATTAATCAATTTAACCAATGAGGTCACCATCTTCACAAAAAGATTGATTACATATAATTAAAACAACTGGTGGTACATTTTGCTGACAGCATGTAATTTAAATTCTGAACACAGTAACACTTTTACTGTCTGAATCTGCCAGGCACATTCATTTGAGTTTGTTTATTTTTCCGAAATGGACGCACCACCATTTGGAATACAATTACTCCAGCAATAATATTTAGCAATAAATCTCTCGGACGTTATTCTTACTGTCACCACTTTGACTTTGCCAAAGTGCTCTCCATAAATCACACGATACTACGCTTGTGGCAGCCAATAATTATTCCTCTGGAGAATATTCATATCTAATAGGATTTCAACATGTCTGTGATGGCGTGGCTCCCAATGTATGTCCCTGATTGTTCCAGGGCAGTCAGCACATCACTGTGTCATTGCCAGTTTTTTAATTTGAAAGTCACATTGGATCCCTGCTAAGCTTCACATATCGAGGATTTAGACCAGGGGTGTCAAACTCATTTTAGTTCAGGGGCCTCATACAGCCAACGGGCATCTCAAGTGGGCCGGACCTGTAAAATCATAGCATAAAAACCTATAAATCACGACCACTCAAAATTGTTCCCTTGGTATAAGTGCATAGAAAAATACATTAAAAAAAAAAGGCTCGTTCAATTAACTATCTTTTTACAAAACTTTATGAACAACCCTGAAATGTATGAAGACAAATAATTGCAATTTCAATAATTGAATGCCTCAGTTTATCATTAACACATGGGCATTACAACTTACAAGTCATAGTGTCTCTGCAAAGGCACACAGCCTTTAGTCACAGGTACAATTATTACAATACTTAATAACCTGAACAATATAGCATTTTGCTATATTGTCAAGATCTAGATGATTTAACATTCATTTCCACATCTGTGTAGTAATCCTGCTCACCTGAACTGACACACCACCATACAAACTAAAGTGGGAACTATTTAGGAAGAAGGTTAAGTTATCCCCTGCCTTGTAAATGTACAAAATGCATACAATCAAAATACATAAAAGTTGTGAAAATGGCAAGTAATGTAAATAGTAACACTTTACATTTGGACCTCATTTAGTGATATCTCCTCTGCTTGTCTTTCAGTGAATGGTGCGTACTGCTCAGAGAAGGATTTGGACACGGAGCTGGGTGACGCTGAGGGCACCCTGATGCGATGTGGGCAGAGCCTGCTGGTGGGGGGTCATTTAGGGGGGCTTTATACCCAGAGCCTCCACTGTGACAGACCTACACCCGACCTCATTCTGCAGGACGGCCCTCACCAAGACACCAGGTAAACTGTCACTATCATTGCTGTTGTTCAATTATTTTCTTTTGAGTGTTTCCTGTTTGGTGTAGAATTACTAACATGATGCAGGTAGAGTGTGCTTCTCATTATTTTTGCCATTGTAAACCAGATGCACGGATATGTAGCTGCAAAGCTTTGCCCAGCCTCATAAAACACACCGATGGGGTCCAAAGTACAACATTCATGTTACACTAATGCGTTTCTTATGTTGTGCAGTCTTTGACTACTGTTGGTCAAGTCAGAAACAATTTCCATCGAAGCTCCCTGTTATGGGTTATGTCCCTTTTTCCCCCCTCCTCATCCGACAGCCATTCTCTTCTCTCATATTTTGTCTCAATATTTTCCCTATAGCCAAACAGGAAATGGTGCTCCTGAATAGAAAGAGAGAGGGGGAGGGTCAAGGCTTTATTAACAACAACGATGACAAAGTCTGCCAGTGGCTTTCTCCAATCCAAGCTAGCGTTAGCTCTGCTTTTCCCCCAGCGTGCTCAGGGGAAGGGACAAAGACGATTCCTTCATGAGACAGCCCGGAGAAAAGAGAGCTCTTCTCACATCACTCAGGGGCTTTGGACAAAATCCATAATGAGCCAACTGACAGGAATGATTATGTAGGAGATCACAGCAACGCATGGGGAAATATGACCTGGGTTCCCCATTCAGCGGGGCAAAGATTCCCACCATAATACACAGTATTGTAAACGGTGACCCTTCATAGGCCGCAATTATGCCACCAAAACAGGTGACTCCCTATTTACCCCCAATGTTGGGTTGGGTTTAACCCCTTTGTGTCATCAAAGCCTGTCAGATGGACACACTAGCCAGTGGCCTCTCGCTCTCAGTAGCCATCCATCCCTCCCCCTCTCTCTATTCTTAGTCATAAATGCCCATTCATATCCTCTCACTACCCCGGGATCCTGTTTCATTTATTCATAAAAACACTGGATCAAGAGCGGTGGATACATCCTCATCACCTTATGTCACCTGCTACACAAGGCTAATGTTTGATCCCTTATGATGAATGAGTTAAACTATTTTCCGGTCAGCGGGACTTATTATATTATTTGATTGTAAACTAAGAGAATGATTGTATGAGGAGGTCGGTGAGCAAGAGGATACGCTCTGAATGTTTTTCTGGTGGGAAGGTTGAACTAGCCAGTGTCTGTCATCAGGCTGTTAGCTAGCAGCGCTCATATTCCTCTTTGTGCGTTTTCTCCTTACAGATCCTGCTCTGCCTTCCAGAGGACCCTGCCGGGGGCCTCGCCGGGATCAGACTGCGGCACCGCCAACAGGGCCCGCTCCTGTCTCCCTTACTCAATCAAACAAGAGAACTCAATGGGCTACAAGATCTCCAACACCGGGGTCCACAGCTCGTCTCAGGCCGGGTTTCAGAACTGTAGCGGAGGCCAAGTCTTGGGGATGACGAGGGACGAGCTAGTTGGAGCGCCACATGTTAACACCAGCGCTAGTGGCGTGTGCACAGTAGGTAGTGCTGTGTCCGAGAGCGCAGTGCAGCCGTTTAATAATGAAGATGGCTCCTCCCCGTTGGCTTTGTCCCCGTCTGCCTCCCGTCATTCAGCGCGGCTGCTCAGTGCTAGCAGTCTGAGGAGACGCTGCCTGTCCCTCGCCTCACAGTCCTCTGCCGCCGCGGCCGCTAGCGTCGCTGCCTCATCGTCCCCATCGACTCCCGAGGAGATCAATATCACCGCCATCATCTGCTCCTCCTCCCAGATGTCGATGGTGGCTTGCGTCAACGGTTTCCGCTCAAACCTCTCGCCCAGCAGTGCCGGCTTCTCCTCCTCTTCTTCCTCCTCCTCCTCCTCATCCCCACCCTCTAACTCCTGCTCCCGGGAAGCCCCCCCGAGGCCCCCACCTCACGGCAGCCCCCAGCAGCACACGCTACAGGAGAGCTGTCAGCTATCATCACCTGCCACCTGCCTGCTGTCCCTCTCCTCCTCCTCCTCCTCCTCCTCCTCATCATCCTCCTCTTCAGTGTCATCAGTGGAGCAGGAGCAGGGGCAGAGCCAGGGGCCGTGTGAGGGGCGGGGCTCCATGCTGCAGGGCCGTGGGGCTGGAGGAGCAGCCGGGGGAGGAGGAGGAGGAGGAGGAGGGGGAGGATCGGACGGGTTGGGGCTACTGATGAGTGGGGCCCTGATGTCCGGGATGCTGCATTCAGGGCCTGAAGCTGCGACTCTCCTGGACGGGGGCCAAAGATCAGGGGCGGTCCTCAAACAGGAGCCCCTGGATGACTTTTCTCCCAGCGAAGACGAACTCTTTCAGCACCACTATCATCACCACCATCACTTGAGTGGTCGCAGCGGGCAGCTACGTCAGCCTCACCACCCCTCTCGCCCCGCCATGCCCCCGCCCTACCACCTGCACCAATACCAGGGGCCCGGTCCTGGGGGTCCGCTGCACCACCAGAGCCAGCAGACAGCACCGCCCTCCTCCCTGGGACTCAAACCGACCTCTGGAGGCCCTCCGGGGTCTCACACGGAGCGGGAAGAAGTGGGAGGAGGCGCGCTGGTGGATAAGCAGGTATGTCGATGGATCGACTGCAGCGCCGCGTACGAGCAGCAGGAGGAGCTGGTGAGGCACATCGAGAAGGTCCACATCGACCAGCGCAAAGGAGAGGACTTCACCTGTTTCTGGGCCGGCTGCATCCGCCGCTACAAGCCCTTCAACGCCCGCTACAAGCTGCTCATTCACATGAGGGTCCACTCCGGAGAGAAACCCAACAAGTGTATGGTGAGTAATCGTAATCTGTCATACTATGCACCCAACACTCACCAGAACCCATAAAAAGACAGACACCAATGGTCCGGCATATTCACAACACCCAGTATTGTTGAAAATCCCGTCATAGTCAGCTGTCTCACTTTTAATAATCATTGCTTCTTTTTGAAAATGTTGGGTTGTATTTATCGTTTTCTTATGAGTGTAGTTTTTCATATAATTGCAACCATCTGTTTTCTGAATTACACACAAGCACATAATTCACAAAGTCCCTCAAGATGATTTTTCTTCAACAAGATACACATCCATTGTGTCCAAAACCAAGACTGGACTTGCTTCACTGCTGATTACTTTTCAACAAATTTTTTTATTTTGTTTTGGTTGAGAAACAGTTATGATTATAATTCTTGTGTTTTTTAGTTGAACAGGTAAAAAAGAGGGTTTCTTCTCCTCTGAAGATGTGAGCTGCGGTAAATGCAGCTCTGCCTCGTCAGTATAAATAGATTTGTGGTTATATTCTTTACAGGTAAGGCTCCAATTCCACAAGTCAACACTCTAATCAATGTCAAGCTGTCACTCCCCCGCGTCCCTTAGCAAATGGAAAAAGCCCTCCAACCTTAAGAAAGACTTAGTCCAAATACACAATTAGTCCACAATTTGTGTAGGGCGAAGCCATGTTTATTTTCACGAGCACTCTGTTTTTTGAGACAGGATTCAGATGATGAAAAGCCAACACATATGGTTAACATAACCAAACAATGCCTACACTTGATCCTTTTAAATGGGAGCTTTAAATGTTTAGCTGTCCCACAAGTATTAAGTGAGTTGGCTTCCTATCCAAACCAAACACGAGGAGAAATGCAGTAGTCTGGAGAAAGCAGCCACAGAGGGATGGTCGGTTACATTTGCTAGTCTTGCTCAATTCACGGCTTCACCCAAAGCCACTGTCAAAAGTGGTCCTCTTCAAGTTCGGGAAGCCACCCAAAATCCTAATTACACGAAAAACTCAGTGTGCGTATTGCTCCAGCACCTGTTTTATCTCCATGGCTTTTTTTTGTCTTAAAAGAAAAACAATCCAGGTCTTGTTTATTTTCCTAATTACCAGTGCCTTGTAGTCTTCTAACAGAAACTTGTATTTAAGGGCAGTTTTTTGTTGAGTTGGATTGGATAAGAAATTCATGTTGATTCTGAGTAACTCTGATACTTGTTACAGTGCACATCTGAGCTGATTTAAGCCAAAAAGACACACACTGTTCTTTCTGCTTTGCGTCACAGTGTTCCTGCTCCCTTGGCTCAGCGTGAACTAAACATTTGGAAGTAATTTGCTGCATTATGTGTCCCCCCAACTGTTAACTCTGCTTTGGGAGTGTGTTGGATTAAAGGCTTTTAAATTCGTCTTTTATATTCATTCCTCACTTGTCGTTGTTGTCGCTGCCCTTTGTAGACTTTTAAGATGTCACACAGCAAATACACACTTGAGTGAATGTTTGCATGTGTATACGCCAAAGGTGTATGCATGACTGTGTCACTGTGGAGGTGCGTGTATCGGTGTGTTTATGTGTGTTTTCGGAGATGTTTACCATATGTGAGCTCTGGAAAAAGTTGGCTCAGTGTGGACGAGCCACTGGATTCTGTCTGCAGACATGAGGCTGTGTGAAACACCGCTACACACCCTCACCTCCCGATCACCTTGGTTTCAAACACACACATTTTCACAGCCATGCATTTGTGTAACAACTTAGATATTGTTCCATTCACTCTCACAATAGGAAGTATTGATTCCCTTTTACAGAGCGTTGGTTTGTAACACTCCTATCTGACAGATTTGAAACAGAAATGTGAAATGTTTGCGAGCTTGAATCAACACATCTAATCAGCAGGGATTGAATGTATGCTCTTTTGGGACTTCTGCAGATAAACTTGGAGGGCCAGAGAAAATATACACACACTCTCCGTGTGTATTTATACCTGTGTTTGTGTTTGTATATAGTCCATACGGATTTCAGTAAGGACTACCTTACTAAGAAACCTACCGTCACTGTGTGCCTTTTTAAGGGGCATGCTTGTTAGTTTATTTTAGTTGTGTCCATCTTATTTCTTTTTCTCTGAGATGGTGTGCTTTTTGGCCACTAGCACTGGTGCCTTTTGTGTTTTTTTTTGCCCACGCAATAGACAAAGGCATTCAAGAATTTGTGCAATTCCTACAGAGGAAGCAGATGAGACATTCTGGTTTTAGAAATGCTGTAGAAAAACCAGAGCTAATCCCTTTATTATCTTTCCAGCAGCAGAGTCCAGCGGGCACTCTCATCCAAACATAACACATCTCTCCCTCTCTCTCTCTTTTTATATATATATATATAAACTGTATCTCTTTTCCTTCATACAGCTGCACAGCATTTGTTTCATGCTGCGTCTTGGCAGGAAAAACTCATTATCACAAGTTGTATCCCGACCCCTGCATGAGCCTGTCACACTCGGTACCTCGCTTATATTTTTAAGAAATGCTCCTCGGTTCCCTCCACATGTAGGTGGTTGGGTTTGTGGCTTTTTAAAAAAGGTCTGCAACCTTTTTTCAGGAAATATGTTTTGGTTCTTTTTTCACCGCCAATTAAAGCGTGCCCTGGGCTGTTGTGTAGAGACACGGCCGAAAAGGAAACAACATAATCTCGCTGCAATATCCTGTTGTGTTTCATGCCTAATTCACTTGTTGTTTTTGGTTTATTACATTTTTTTCCCTGTGTCTGCATAAATATTAAAAATATATCCAGCAGCAGTAGCCCTGACTTGGTCCCAGACTTTGATATTGTTCTGTTTGTCAGAGGATTTGAAGCGTCTGAAGAATGGTCTGCGAGCTATAGAGGTCACAAAGTATGCTCCTAAAGCATGAAGCTCTGTGAGGAGAGGGCAGAGCGTTAACATGGCAGAGGGGCTTCATGGTTTGTTTGCATAGCTCTTTCTTGGGAGTATTCCTTTGGTATTTCTTAAGCTCAATAGTATCTTTTTAATGTTATTGGAGGAGGTTATGTTGTCGTGGGATAAAGGATTCAAAGCATGGAAGTTGAGTCTGTGGTTAGGATTTCAAAGTTTCAAGAAAAAGAGAAATGCAGCAGATGTAAGCACATCTTTGATTATTTACTGTAAATGACGAAGGGAGTGTTGTAAAAACAGTTTTGGTTGGAAATAACATTAAGGCTTATTTTCAAATTATATTTTTGCACCTGGCTAATAAGGCATGGCTATAAAATGTTATGTAAGTTAAGTAAAGTGATCTTAATAGTGATTTATATCTCATCAAGTGAGCAGACATTATGAAGCATATCTATATTCATTTGGAGCCACTTTCTTTTGTAGTTCCAAAATAACTCTCCCAGGTTCATACCATGTAGGTGACTGGTTGAGAATGTTTTAAGTAAAGAATATCCTTCCATGAAAGGGTAGATTCACATACTTTTACTCACATGTTAGAGCCACAGGCGAGACACAAAGCCACTCGCCCATTTCACAATGATCAAATGCAGCCAGCATTAGCTGCTTAATGGGACCCTGTCCAAATACATACACATGTGCACACACACACACACACACACACACACACACACACACACACACACACACACACACATACACATACACACACACACACACACACACACACACACACACAACACATACACATACACACACATACACATACATACATACACACACACACACACACACATACACACACACACACCAAAACACTCGCTGACACTCTCAATCAAACCACTTGTTGAAGGAAAGTTGGATGTTGAGGCCTGTTGGAAAAAAAGTGTGCATCATGGAATGAAGTGTGAAACCGGCAAAAAAAAAATCTATATATTTAGATTTACTAGACTGATTTTTGGAAGAGAGTGGCAAAATCCCTTGGCAGCAGACGGTGAGACATAGAGCGCGGACTGCTGCCAAGATGGCGTGTGTTTTCAGGAGTAAATGGAGTCTTTTGTGAGCAATCAGCTCAGACCAGGAGATGAAACAGGTGCCATTAGCTAATTAAAACCCAGGTTCAGCACATGACCCGACTTTTCCTCTGAATGCCGCCTGAAACTGGAGCCGTCTGGGCAGCGGGTGGCGAGTGACGTTGATATTAATGTGTTCGTACCCGTATGAGCCTCTGACACTCGGGCTGTCTGGACAGCTTGGACGACACAATCTCAGAGTCCAGCTTCTGAACCACCAAGGCCCAAAAGATGATGATGATGAAGATGATTCAACTTTATTGTCATTACATTGTACAGGGACTAGTAACAAAACGGTTTCTCTGCATTTGACCCATCCTAGTGTTAGGAGCAGTGGGCTGCCATTATGTACGGAACAACCACCTGAGCTCTAAATATTTCTGAGTGCACAAAGCTCGATTTGATGTGTCCTAAAGCGCAGCTAAGTAGTTTCACTCAAGTAATGTACTCTAGTAATATTTAGAGGTACTTTACAGGAGTATTAACATTTTCTGCCACTTTATACTTCTACTACATATCAGAGGCAGATTCTCTGAACTATTAAACACTTGTAGTTACTTCTTAATGTTTACATAATTACCATAATGTGTTAACTTAATATTACATATAAACTACTTATCTACTCAGTAGCACACAGTAGTATACTTTGCTCCTCATTGACAACATCCAAGATGAAAATCTCCCATATGTATTTAATAGTGACAAAACAGAATAATATAATATTCTATAAATGTATAATACTGTGAAAAGAGCCATTCTGCATAATGAGTTATTTTACATTTTGAATTCAGGACTTCTACTTGTAATGGAGTATTCTAAGTCCATGGTATTTCAATTTGTGCCTAAGTATTTGTTACACCTCTGCTAAAGAATGAAACACGCTCAGACAGGGACACATGTGACTGCTATTTCTGCAACATTTGGGCTTGTTAGGGAACGCAACATACAACTAATTAAAGTATTTTCTGCTTCTTAAAGTCTTGTACCCAATATGCAGACTTACAAACGTACCAG